CGCGGGGCCGGGGCCCCGGGGACCCCGGGCCACGGAGAGCGGGAAGAGGATGGACTGCCCGGCCCTCCCCCCCGGATGGAAGAAGGAGGAAGTGATCCGAAAATCAGGACTCAGCGCTGGCAAGAGCGATGTCTACTACTTCAGGTATCTCCGGGGGTGGGTGGGGGGGTTCGGGGGGGCGGCGGGGTCAGGCCGGGGTCAGGGGTCACGGCTGGCCCTGGGGGGGTGGTTCGGTGAGAGTAGGGGTCCTGGGCCTGGTGGCGGTGAGAGCCAGCCCGCCCCCCGGGTGCGATCTCAGCTTCGGGCAGTGACAGGTTCAGCGGGGGAAGGCGAGGGCACCGGAGCGGAGGCCCGGCGGGCGGGGGGGCGGGCAGGCTTCGCCAGGAAAGGGTTACGAAGGGGAGCGATGCTCGGCCGGTCCACCCAAGGGTTAAAACAAGGTGTAATTCATCGAAGCCATAAAAGCTAGTCATCCTTGGCTCCTGTCCCAGCCTGCCCCAGATTCATCCTCCCAAGGGTGTTTCATCGTGCACATGTGGAGGAATTAGCTATCTGCACGAACCAAGTTTCAGTTACTTTGTAGGAGCCAGGGAAAGTTTCATCCAAAGTAGCCACTCGGAATGCGTGTGCGTGCGCGTGTGTTTTGGTTTTTTCCAACCGCTTTGTGTGCTGGAACATACTCTCTTTTGACAACGGAAACACAGCATTAAGTTGTTAGACTTTTAGCTCAGCATTTGCCCCCTAGGGATCAGGTGGCCACGCCCGGAGACGTTTTTTTGGTTCTCACACCTGGAAGCGGGCGGGGGGTGGGGGGTGCTGCGGGCCCCTGGTGGGTAGATGTCGGAGTTGCTGCTCTGCTGTCAGACTCAGGACAGCCTCTGCAGTAACGACTTTTCTGGCCTCAAATGTTCCAAGGGGTTCGAGTTTCTCACCTAAAGTTTCTCACCTAAATGTAACCTTGCAATCCTGCGGTCATACTGTCCATGTCCTTAAATTTGTATAATGCCCAGGAAATGATCTGTGGATATTAATATTAGTAGAAGTATAAACAAAGTTACTACGTTTTCTTGTTTGTTATTCTATTTATAGAAGAGTATAAACATATTCTTTGGTTTTGAGGGGCGCAGTTTGTGGGCTGAACCTTTTTTTTTTTTTTT